ACCTTGGTCATGGCCTCGAGTGATCGCATGGGACAGTGTCTGCGAGGGCTGGGCTCAGCCAAGAGCCCCCGCCTGCTGCAAGGGGTGCTCCCTGCTTGTCCCCGCAGATGTGGGGGGGACGCTTGGTGTGGGAGCCACCAGAAAGTGACACCCAGATGGTGCTGTCCCAGACTTGGCGGGTGCCTTGAGCTTGATCTTAATGGTTAATAGGGGCCAGGGCCAGGCGTGGAGCTGTGCCAAGGCACTGGAGCGGGGCCTCCATCCACACATCCTGCCCTGAATGCCCCCAGCATATGCTGCGCATGGGGAAACCGTGCCTCGGCAATGGGTCTGCAGCCCCTCCAAGGGGCAGCACGGGGTCTTGCTGTGGGATGTGTCCAACCCCAGCCTTGACCCCACCTCTCATCCCATGCCAACTGCCCCGGACTTTCCTCCCTTTGGCGTCACGGTTGTTCCCTGGCTGCAGCTGCAGTGGGGTGCGCATGGTGCCATGGTGCACACAGCCTGCAGTGATTGTGCCCTGCACTGCTCACATGCTGAGGTGTTGTCTCCATGACAAAGGGGACGCCCTCTGTTCCTCCTTATTCCCCCTGCCACATTCCATGCTGCACCCCTCCAGGGTCAGCACTTTCCCCACGAGGTCACCTGTGCAGCCACCTGGCTCCCACCCCATGGAGGGCGTTTACTGGGTGTCTCCCGTGCACTCCGTGCAATTGGGAGCCGGTGACGGGGCTGGCCCCGTGCCCCCAGCGCTTATCGGGACATTGCTCAATGGTGGGCGCAGTGCTGGGGCAGTGCGGCGGTTTGCCACCACCTCCCTGTGGTGGGGAAACTGAGGCAAGGCAGTGGAGTGGGAGGTACGTGGGTTGAGGGGGTGCTCGATGCTTTGGGGGCCCTGTTGGTCTCCCCACTCCGCCATCACAGCTGCTGAGGGTGAGGGGCTCGGGGAGGCCTTGGGGGGCTGGGATCCTGGGCTCGCAGCCACCCAGCGGCGGTGGGGAGAGGAGGGAAAAGAGGTGGGATTATGGAAATGGGATCCAATGAGACAAGAGAGCAGCCCGCAAAACATGCCCCGCCGGCAGCCCATTTAGTGCGGTGGGCAGCGCTCAGCAACCTCTTTGGCCGGAGCTGTGCGGACAGACAGTGGGAACGGACCCCTGACAGCCCCAACAGCCCAACACCAAGCGATGGCCTTTACCAAGCTGCAGAAAGTACTTATCAGCGACAGCCTGGACCCCTGCTGCAGGGTCATCCTGCAGGAGGGGGGTATCCAGGTGTTGGAGAAGCCCGGGCTGAGCAAAGAGGAGCTGCTGCAGGAGATCCAGGTGAGCAAGCTGGGGTCTGCGTGTGGCTCAGAGCCCTGGGCTGGTGGCAACGGGTGGGCACAGGTGGGCGCCAAGTGGGCACAGTGTCTGTCTGTCTGTCCCAGTGCGATTAGTGGGTATACCACAAGCACATGGCGGGGACATCATGGAACACTGCAGAACAGTGGGAGGCTGGAAGCCCCCTCGCCCAGTGGGTCACGTCCCCGCCTCCTGTGTCTGATGCAAGAATCCTGGTTGCTTTCACACTGCTGATCCCAGCCCCAGGCCCGCGGCTTTTCCCACCCCACCACCCACCCTGCCTGCCATCCCCACGGCCCAGCCCTGTCAGACGTGTGGTGTCTGTCCCTGCAGGACTGTGATGGGCTCATCGTCCGCTCGGCCACCAAAGTCAGTGCCGACGTGCTGGAGGCGGCAGGCAGGCTGCAGGTGGTGGGCAGAGCAGGCACCGGTGTTGACAATGTGGACGTGGAGGCAGCCACCAGGAAGGGAGTGCTGGTGATGAAGTAAGAGTGGGACCCGCAGCCAGAAAGGAGACATCCTGCTGGCACGGGGCTGGGGGGTCAGCATAGTGCTCAGCCTCCCTGCGGGTCTCTATCCCTATGGGGAGGTCACACGGTGACCCCAATCCCTGTCCCCAGCACACCCACCGGGAACAGCCTCAGTGCTGCAGAGCTCACCTGCGGCATGATCCTGTGCTTGGCCAGGTGAGTGCGGGGCTGTACGGGGTGGGGTATCCATCCCACAGCCCCCAGCCCTGCACAGACTGTGCCCCCCTCTTGCAGGCAGATCCCACAAGCAGCTGCCTCTATGAAAGAAGGCAAATGGGACAGAAAGAAGGTATGGGGCAGGTGCAGTGCCTGGGCGGGTGGGTGCTGGGAGGCCCCTGCTTGCTCACTTCTCTCCTCGCCCCCCAGTACATGGGCATGGAGCTGAATGGGAAGACACTAGGCGTGCTGGGGCTGGGCCGCATCGGCAGGGAGGTAGCCACACGGATGCAGGCTTTTGGCATGAAGGTGAGCAGCAGGGCAAGGGGCAGTGGTGGGGAGCAGGCTGGGTACAGCTGTGAGCCCTCGCTCTGCCCCAGACCATCGGCTACGACCCCATCATCACTCCTGAGACCTCAGCTGCGTTCGGCGTGGAGCAGCTTCCACTGGAGCAGATCTGGCCCCGCTGTGACTTCATCACGGTGCACACACCACTGCTGCCCTCCACTACAGGTAGGGCGGCCTGGGAGTCTGGGGTTGCTCTGGGGCTTCCCCTGTATCCCCATCCCTGATGGTGCCCCCTGCAGGGCTGCTGAACGACAGCACCTTTGCCAAGTGCCGCCGTGGTGTGCAAGTGGTGAACTGTGCCCGGGGTGGCATCGTGGATGAAGGAGCACTGCTGCGGGCATTGCGCTCAGGGCAGTGCGGAGGGGCTGCCCTCGATGTCTTCACACAGGTGAGAGGGGTCCCCTTGGGGCCATCACCCAAATTGGGCTAGGCAGCCCCCAGGATGGCACGGGGCTGAGACCGGGGCCGTGTGCAGGAGCCCCCGAAGGACCGGGACCTGGTGGACCACCCCAACGTCATCTGCTGCCCACACCTGGGTGCCAGCACCCGGGAGGCACAGAGCCGCTGCGGCAAGGAGATTGCCATGCAGATAGTGGACATGGCCACTGGAAAGGGGCTGGTCGGCCTGGTGAGTCCCCTGGTGCACCCTGAGACCCCATGAGTGATAGAACCCCACTGCTCATCCCGCTTCTCCTCTCAGGTCAATGGGCAGGCACTGAGCAAAGCCTTTGCGCCCCAGACCAAACCCTGGATCACCGTGGCCAGGGCACTGGGCACGGTGCTGCATGGCCTGGCCAAGCAAGCGACGGGCAATGTGCAGGTCTGCACCCTAGGTGAGAGGTGGGCAGGTGTGCTCCAGCACAGGGACCCAAGGGGATGCACTGGGTCAGAAGGCAGGAGGTGGTTGGGTGATGGGATGAAGGAGTCATCCCATTCGTGGGATGTATGGGATAGTGGGAATACAGATGGACATGAGCTGATCACAGTACTGATCCCAGGAGCCCCCCTGAAGGATGCCAGCAGCTACCTGGCACCTGCTGTGGTCTCAGGCATGCTGGCTGGAGGAAAGAAGGAGGCGACCCTGGTGAATGCCATGCTGCTGGCCCAGGAGGCTGGCCTGAAGGTACACAGAGTGTCAGCCCAATGCCACCACATCCTATCCTTCCTTGGTATAAGCCCACAGGGCACTGTGCCCTCAGGGGACATCCCTGTAGGATGCAGGTGCTGAGTGGCCATCTCCCCCGACCAGGTCACAGCCTCCCATGGTGACACATGCACTGAGCCTGAGGGCTTGCTGCAGGTGGCCTTGCAGGGCACCCCACACCGGGTAACAGGAACAGTGCAGGGCAGCACTCCAGTGCTGAGGGAGCTCAACGGGGTCACCTTCAAGCAGCCGGCACCACTGGTGGGCCCTCTCCTTATCTATAGAGTCAAAGCATCTGAAACAAACACGCTGCCCACACTCGCTGGTAAGCTTCTGGTGTCACCACAAGCAAAGGAACAGCTGGAGGGATCTCCACAATCAGCCTAGAGTCAAAAGGAAGACAATGCTGACAGGACATTGTGTGCAGAGACAGGAGGGGTGGTTTGGTTACAGGGCTGGGAAATTGGTAATGCAGTGGCACCGGCTGACCAGGGGTTGGTGGGGTCACTGTCCCTGGAGGTGTTCAAGAACCATGGAATTGTGGCAGTGAGGGACATGGTAGAGGTGGGCTGGGGTTAGACTTGGGGATCTGAGAGGTCTTTGCAACTGTAATGATTCCACAGTTGTATGACTTGGGGCAAAGGAAAGGAAGAACATCATAGAGGGGATTCAGGGTAGGCAGAGCCCTGCTATTCATGATCCTACACCACTGTGGGGTCCAGGTACCAGAGAACAGGCTGCAGTTCTGACCTCTTTCCTCCTGCCCAGGGCTGCTGGGGAAAACAGGGATCCAGCTCCAGTCCTACCACAGCTCCAGTGCAGTGTCGGGGGAGCAGTGGAGCATAGCCGGGCTCTCAGCCCCGCTGCCTGACCTCTCTGGCCTGAAGCCATGCACTACAGAAGTCTTCCAGCTCCACCTGTAGCCCCCCCTTGACGGGGAAGGACCTGGAGCCTCCAGCACCTGGGGGAGCATCGTGCTCAATAAAGCATCCAGGAACGAGCATGCTGTGCCTTGTCCATGCATCCCAACCTTGTAGCGTCCTTCCTATCCATCCCTAAACCCTTCTCGATGATGTCGCTCATACCCAACTCCACATCATTTCCTGCAGACTCTGTTCTTCCTGGCTCCATCCCCAGTGCTGTCCCCGCCACCTTCTAGCACTATTTGCTCAAGGGTGCAAAGGTCTTTCAGGCTCTGCTGCCCTGCTGAAGTCCCCTCTGGCAACAGCCTGGGCAGTGCTCCAAGATGGGCTGAGCCTCCTACGTCACCCCACTTCTACCCATGGAAGCTATCCCCTGGGGATGCTGGCAATTGTGTATTGCCACCTGTGTTGGATCCAAAGCATTAGGCAACCTGAGTATACGTGCCATTCTCCTCAGGCACGTGTGGTGTACAGGGATAAATCTCACTTGGCACGGAGGTGATTCAGGATGGGTTTAGGGGCAGGAGGGGAATACATGGCACTGGGTAATGTAGACTGCTTTGCAATAGGGAGCCAGAGCAGAGGTATTGCCCTTGCATCCGTGCTTTATTCCCCACGCTGCCCGCGTTTTCGCAGAAAACACTGCTTGCTCCGGGACCCGGATGGCTGCATTCACTCCTGCGCCTGCACGTCCCCCCGGTGGCTGCCCCTCTCTGTGCCCTACACGGGCTTCCTGGCGTACTGCCGGCGGTACTTGTCGTCTACCCGCTCCAAGTACCAGGTGCCGGGGAACAGGTCTGCCTGGGAGCCGTGCGGAGTGTGGTTGGCTGTGGGGAGAGGACGTGAGGCTCAGTGGGGCAGCCAGACCCCGGCAGCAGGGTGCCCCCCAGCCCTGCTCACCCAGGTGATGGGTCTCCTCCCGCCGCTTCATGATATCGGCAAAGTCCTGTGGGGCCACGCGCTTGCGGGCGTCCAGGCGGGTGGGCAGATCAGCCAGGCTGGAGAGCAGCTTGTCCAGGGGGGAGCCTGGTGTGAGGAGACCACGGATGAGACACCACCCATCTGTGCCCTCCCGGCTCTCGGTGCCCATGATGTGGGACTCACCCGGGGCTGCATCCTGCGAGACACGGAGGGAGAACATGCTGGCGGCCAGCCCTGAGCCGTAGGAAAAGGCACCGATCCTGGAGCCGGCCAGGTCCTGAGCTGAGCACCTGTGGCCATTTGGGGTGAGGGGTTAGGGGAGATACAGGGCTCGATGGACCTCAGCCAGGAGGGCCCTGGCAGGCTGGGCCAGATTAAATTGCAACCATTGCAGGAGGAGATAAGGGAGGCTGTGCTGCAGGGGACAGCAAGCAGGGAACAGTTGGACACAGCAGGGGCTGGGCAGGTCTCTGCCCCCACCACGTCCCTGGGCCGTACCAGGCACTGCAGCCCAGCACGAGGCAGCGAGTGGCTCAAGGACGGGCTGAGGGACACAGCAGTCGCACCGCCCTCGTGCCTGGCTGTTCCCATGGCTCCTTCCCAGCCGGCAGTGGGGGACGGCCGTTCTCTGGTCATGAAAAGGGGGTTTTCATCCCATAGCACTGACAGAAGGGCTTTATGCACTCCAGCAAGGCGGCAGGGAAACGCTGGCCGGGGGACAGCACTGGGCTGAGTGAAGCTGGGCCATTCCCAAAATGGCATCCTCCACAATGACATCCCACCAAAACAGCAAACCCTCAAATGGCGACCCCTCAAAATGGCGACCCCCTGCTGCCAGCGCTGCAGACTCACTGAGACAGGAGCGAGGCCAGGCAGCCATACATGGACGGTGTGTACATGTTGCCATTACGGGAGGAGAGCAGCAGGGAGGGCTTGGTCTTCTGGTTGAAGATCTCCTGGCTGGCCGTCTGGAAGGCCTTCTCCACCTCTTTGCTGGTGTAGGTGTCCTCCAGCTTCATGCCGCTGCATGGAGAGAGGCGGGCTGTAAGCATGCATGGGAAGTGAGCAGAGGCATCCTCACTGCACTGAGGGACACCCACCGGAAGGGCTGCAGCCCCTTGTAGAGTCCAGAAGCCGTGTCAGGGCTGGGGGCGGCCAGGAAGTCGTTCAGCAGCAGCCGCCCCACTGACTTCTGCACCAGCTTGCAGAAGGGTGTGTGGAAGATGATGAACTTGAAGTCATCAAGGGTGAAAGGCCGCTGGATGCCAGCTGGAAGGCAGAGCAGGAATGTCAGTCGCCATCGGGTGGGATGTGCGGCCATCCGAGTGCCGCAGCGTCACCCCTCACCCTGCTGCCATTGGCTCTCTGCCTTCCTGCGGTACACGGCGTAGCAGCGGTCCAGGGCCCGCAGGTAGCACTGGATGGAGAGGGGACCGTCCACCACTGGGTATTCTGAAGACAGGTCAGGCTTGTAGAAGTCATAGGCGTGCTCCATGTGCGTTCCCCGCAAACCTGGGGACACAGGTGAGAGCTGTGTGTTGGGGATCTGCTCACGGGTCCTAACCACCACGTCAACCCCACCTTTGGCCCAGTCACGGCCAGCCAGATCCCCATGGAGCACTGACCTCTCTCCAGCACCAGAGGGGCGTTGGGTCCCACCAGCATAGCAATGGCACCGGCACCTCCTGTGGGCCGTGCGTTCCCCGTTGCGTAGACAGCAATGTCCCCACACACTACCACGGCGTAGCGTCCTGCAAGAGGACAGCAGGGATGACAGTAGGTGGGGCATCCCCATCCATCCCGTGGTCTCAGTACAGCCCACCACTCACATCCCCATCCCCTGGCCTACGTGGGTGAGAAAGAAAGGTGGAGGGATGACAGTAGGGCAGCATCCTTCCCCCATGCCCCAGTACCCCCCCCCACACTCAGGCACCCCCCAGCCCCATGCCCACCGTCCCAGGCACTGGACTCGACCCAGGAGGCTGCGTTGAAGAGCGAGGCTGTGCCGCCATAGCAGGCGTTGGTGGTGTCAATGCCCTCCACATCAGTGTTGCCTGACTCGCGGAAGAGCTCCATGAGGACGGTCTTGACGGCCTTAGACTTGTCGATGACGGTCTCAGTGCCCACCTCCAGGCGGCCGATGGCGTCCCAGGAGAGCTGCCCACGCTCCACCAGCCTCTGCACCACCGTCAGGCACAGCGAGTTGATGTCCTCGTGGGCAGCACAGAAGCCCATCTGCTGCTGGCCCAGGCCACGCGTGTACTTGCCGGCCTCCACACCGTCGTAACGCTCCAGTTCAGACTGCTCCACATATTGTGCAGGGAAGTACACCTCCAGTGCCAGGATGCCCACGTCCTTGGGCCACGTGCCTGTGCCGGCTGCCACTGCAGTGCTGGAAAGGCTGCGAGGCAAAGGGAGCAGTGGGGGTCCTGTGCTGGGCACCACTGAGGCTGCCTGGGCCCCACAAACGCTTGCACCCTGCTCCCTGCCCCAACAGAGCCCCCCCGCTCCCCAGCACGCATCCAGCTGACTGCCAGCCCCCCAAAGCCCCCAGGCTTTGCCCACCCCACGGCTGGGCGCTCACCATGCCTGCTGCATGGCTGCAGGGTGTACCCGTGCCAGCCCCCGCCTCGCTCCCCAGCACCGCGCAGCGCGGCTGACCAAGCGCAGCATCTTCAGCCCAGACGGACGGACAGAGAGACAGACACAGGGATCGGCTTGGTGTGCAGCTTTTATCAACTGCGGCCCCCCCAGCCCTTATCAGCACATTGAGCACTGGTGCTCAAAGGTCAGTGAGCAGCAGCCAACACGACAGGGACAGTGCAGCAAGTACTGTATTTGGAGGGCACAACCAGTGAGATGGCTGCGGCTGGTGTCCCAGCATTTTGGGATGCGTGGAGCCAGGGCTGAGCATTGGGGTGGGCTCAGTGCCACCAGGTGACGGCTTGGCGCTGAGCTGGGGGGTGATGGTGACGGCAGAGCCCACTGTCACTGTGCTGTGTGACCCTCCAGCACAGAGCAGAGTACCCTGTGCCACCCATGCCACCTGGGACATGTCATTCTCCATGTATGGCTGCTCCGGGGCACAAAAATGAGTTGGGTGGAGGCACAGCCATCTCCAAAACAGCAGAGCAAACAGACACGTGATGCACAGAGCCGCACTGCAGTGACACAACGAGGGACCTTTGTCCCCCATTGCTGATGTCAACACAGCCCCTCAGAGCTGTAGGTTCATGGGAACCACTCCCATCTCCCAGGTCTCCACGCAGGGACCCCTCATCACACATCACCATCCCTGCATACCTGCCCTAGCCCTGCAACTCCTGGGACCTGTCCCCACACCCTCCTTTCCCCACAGGTCTCCACATGCACTAGTAGCAGGCAGAACAGCAGGGGACTTTGCACAGGACGCACACCATGCTCACATGCTTCTCTGTTTATAGATGTAATTTTGGGAGATAGAGGGATGAGCGCGGAGGTGGGGTGAGAAGAGCATGGGGGCACAGGGCTGTGCTCATTGTGAGGGTGTGAACTTGCAGATGAAGTGGTGCTGTCGGTCACAGTCAGCACTGGACCACACGGTGAAACCTATGGGAGAGATGTGCCACGGGGTCAGCATGGAGGGGGCAGCAGCTCCCAGGTCCCCTCTGCCCAAAGGGGTCCCATAGGAGAAGGAAGCACGCGGGCTGTGGGCACTCACTGCTGCTCCGGGTCAGCAGGGCACAGCTTCCTCCTCGGGCACCATTCCCAGGAACCGTTGGGAGGTCATCGTACTTCTCCCCGTGGGTCCAGCGCCAGTCCCGGCTCTGAGCAGGACACAGGGTCAGGAGCCCAGGCCCGCTGTCCCCAGCCCCATGGGTACCGCCAACCCCTCACCTGCCGCAGGTAGTGGAGGCCCAGCCAGACAGGCTGCGAGCGCTGGTAGTACATGATGACCTGGCTCAGCGTGGCTGCTTCCTTGGGCTCCTCCACCCAGGCAAGGTGGGCTCCAGAGTAGGTGTTCTGGCACAGCGCCTGCAGGGAGATGCGGAGCATTGCAGGACCCCGGCACACCCAGAGCTGGGGGCAGCCAGCTGCACACCCTGACCACCTTTACCTCTGCCTCCTCCCAGGTGCGGTGCTGGGAGAAATACTTGAAGCAGTTCAGCTTGTAGTAGGACCAGCCTTCAGGGCAGCTCAGCAGGTACCGGGCTCCTGGCAGAGGTGGGGATACACGGACAGGGGTTCAGCCCCATGCCCCCACCCCGAGCCAAGAGCATTTCCCCGGGACTCACCGACCACCTGCAGGAGCACCATGCAGCACAGCAGCAGAAGGGCACACCTGGCTGCCATCATCCTTCTCTTCTCTGCAGGCGTCCCCTGTAAGATCCCATGGTGTCAACAGATGCCTCAGGCAGGGCTCGAAGTCCCTGGGCAGACCCAGCCCCGCCACTGCCAGCAGTGCTCTGGGGGATGGCGCAGCCACCTGCATGGGCGAGGGACCCATGGCTTGTCCTGCCCGGGACAGCAGCAGTGATGACATGAGCAGACAGGGATGCTCAGGCCACAAGGCCTCTGTGCATCACTGTTCCTCCCGCTTGCATCCATGCCAGGCTGGGGAGGCAATCAGCTGCCTCAGCGTAGCTCCCCTTTATGTGCGCTAATCGCCAGTGCTGGGGATCATTTGCAGACTCAGCTCATCTTCCTCTCCAAGAGACAGCAACAAAAGTTGGCCTGAAGACCACAAGGCTGCAGCGTGCCCTGTGCCATAAAGGCAGCTCTCATCCCCCTGAACACCCCGAGGCTGTGCTCGGTGGCAGCCCTATCCTCACCTGGCACACGGAGATGGGAAGAATAACGGCCCCTCACGTCTGTGGCGCAGGAGGAGCTGCCCTATATAGCCCCGTGCTCACTGGAGTCACTGTTTGCACAGCTCAGATGATTGCCACCATAAAAATCTTAGGGCTCACTGCCCACATCCCCCGACCCAGCTGGAAACCAGCCTAGATCTCAGCTCTGTTTGCATTCAGCATTTCTCCAGAAAAGACAGGAAGGACCTCTCCTAGTTGGTCAATAAACCCCCTACAATTAGCATTAATTACCAGAGCAAACAGAGCAGTGTATACGCAAAACCCAGCCTCGCACCTGCCGGGTGCCCATCTGGAATAGCACGGGGTGGCAGGGACAAGCCTCGGGGAGGCCGCCTGCGGGCAGCATGATGGATGGGATGGGGCGGGATGGGACGGGATGGGGTGGCAGCCAGCGAGGCCTGCACCCCTCCCAGCTTGCAGTGCGTCAGCCCCACACCGCCCTTGTTTGATCTGCCTGGGCACCTTTCCGGCAGGATGCAGGGACAGCCTGCGGCTGGGGGCCATCAGATAGCGGGCAGGTGGCCGTCCCCACACCCTGCACTGACGCAGGCTCTGCTGCTCCATGTCTATCAGCTCCCCCGGTCGCAGCCCTTGCTGCAGAGCTTTGTGCCACCGCGCTGGAGCCACGCTCCCCACTGCAGGGCTCTCCCACGGTTCCCAGAGCACTGTGGTGGCTCAGCCTGGCGTGTGCAGGCAGGCCTGGCTCTGGCGGCCCTGGGAAGAGGGCACCGCTTATGAAAAAGCATGAAAATACCCCCAAGGAGCCTGAGGCTCCCACAGTTCTTTCATTCAGTGATGCCTGCCTGGCTGGTTCCTTTGGGCCTGTTTGGAAGCAGCAGAACAGGTTCCCAAAGGCCGCTCCCCACTGCACGCAGGGGACGAGGCAGGTCTCAGCCTGAGCACCCCAACTGCTGCAGCTGTGCAGGGCTCAGTCCCCAAATGTGGGGCAACCTGTGGGAGGGGAGGTGAGCTGCTGGATGCTCCTACTGGTTGAGCTGGCTCTGCTGGAAGAGAAAGGAGCGACAGAGTTTAATATTTGAACAGTGAAAATGCCTCCCAGCAGCTTCATTATCCCTCCTGGACATCTTAATTCAGCGAGCAGCTCCACCAGAGCCCACAGCTGAAAACCCGCCAGAGGAGCACACACTAAGCTGAAGGCGCAGGGGCAGCTCCCTGCTCAAAACACAGGAATGGAGCCATCGGCAATTTGTTCCCTCATTGCTCAAGTCTGAAATTTTCCAGACCTGAAAACACTCCTCCCCATCCACTCCAGAGCACGCATGCAGCTGCTGAGCCCCTTCTCAGCACACAGAGGGCCCCAGGTCCTTCTGCTAAAGGGAGCTATGCAGTGAGGTTTGCATGCTGCTGAGCCATGGCAAAGAGCACTCAGCCTCCAAAAGCTTTCTCCCATCCTGGTCCTAACGAGCCCGCTCTCATCAGGGCTCTGAGAGCTGCCCCACACAGGGCATGCCTCACTAATCCTATCTTTGCAATCCAGTGGTTGTGTCACAACAGCCAAGAGGACAAATGAAAACAGCAGCACGCAGACGCCGGGCAAGTACTCTTTATTCTGGGGATAAAAATTGCTTATACAATTTGCAGCAACTATTTTCATAAAAGACTTTTATAAAAAAAAAAATGTAAAAATAAGCAAATATTTTCCATTATTAATATAGGAAAATGCTGCTGTGTGAATGGTTGCTCTACAACTTACGAGTTAAAATACCACCTTAAGGAGATATTATCTTTACAAGTAGTTAAAAAAAAAAAAAGGCAGAGGGCCATCATATTAACACACCAGGCACGAAACTGGCTTCATTCCACAGAAAGCACTCATCTTGTAAATGGTAGCCACATACATAAAAAGGCACTTGGTTATTTGGGGCCAGCAGGCCCTTTGTTCTTTAGCACGGATGTAGCAACACTTCATTAAGCACAGTGAAACGTGTACCTCAACAGATCCCTGGGAGCGCTGGGCCCTGCCGGACATCTGAGTCAGCTGCAGCAGAACTTCACAGTGCACACTGTGCCAGTGCGACGGGAACGCTGTGCGTGTCGGGAAAAGGAACTTCAGAGTAAAAACTTCAGCCCAAACATGGCCCCGGGAACACGCTCCTCCTGAGGCCCTGCCTTCATGTACCATCGAGCGGAATGGAAAGAAGAAAAAGCTTTACGCTGGATTAGAATGGAAAGGAAGGTGGGAGAAATACTGTACATGGTAGGATGCTCACACACGAGCGGCCACCTCTGGATCTCTTTGGAACACGAGTCTGCAGGGTTCCCCTGAAGAGGCAGAAGCAAACCACCCCCAGGAATGTACGCTGCTATTCTGCCTGGCTTACAGCCCTTCAGGGAAGCGCTGGCTTGCAGACAAGGGAGAAGTGGCGGTGTCCCACTGAGGTCAGCTGCTTCTCTAACTCCAAAAACACGGGGGAGCTGCGGTACCAACGCCACGGCTGTCCCATGGAGGAAACTGTGACACAGGCTGAAGCTGAGGACAGAGGACAGCCCCAAACCCAAGAACCAAACTGTGTTACAGAGCTGTTTGTGAGCAACTTGCTCCACTGCTGGCCCAGCTCCTGTTGCAGCTGCCAGAAGGCTGCTTGGGACTCAGTGCAGCAGCTTCCCGTTGCTAGAGCAGGACAAGGCAGTGTCGCCACAGGACTGGAGCAGAAAAAACACTGCAGAAGGGCCAGACGCTATTCCTGTCACGCAGGGACAACACTGCAGACATATAATGATGTCCTTAATATTGCTCAGTAACACCCCAGCGAGGCAGCATACAGTGTCTGTGGGACAGGAGACAGCAACCCTCGGGTGGAGGGGAGGGAGTGCTGTGCAAGAACGTTGGAAGCTGATGCTGTTAGGTCTTGAGGTGCTCCTGCTAATCCCAAGAGCTTCCCAGCAGGCCTCTATTACTTGCAGGCATCTCTTCCAATCCTGGAGCACGTGAAGGCTGTCACAGACACACCTGGCACAACTGGGGGTCATTTGTCAGCATGGTCAGGTGTGTCTCAAGGAAGATATACAACTTGGGAGAGATGCACCTGCAGGCTGCTGCAGGGGGAAGATGGGTCAGACCAGCGTTTTCAGGAGGATAATTAAAAAAAAATAAAAAGGCTTAAGAGAAGACTATATGTATATATATAACCTCGGAATACCATGGGGGCAGGCAGTGAGAATGGTAAGGGGCATTAGTGGGTTCATATAAGAAAAAGGTTCTCACAGAGTGAGTTGAAGCTGCGTGAGAGAGGGTGGTGGCTGCAGTCACTCAGGCTGCAGCTGGCCTGGAGAGTCTGGCTTGCTTGCTGAGCAGGGGGAGCCGCAGGATGGAGGGCTCTAGGAATGTGGGTGCAGCTCTGAGCTGTGTCAAAACAAGGCAGCTTGAACTCAAAGAGAACTAGTAGAAGGTGCTTCAGAGATAGATTATGTAGGTAACAAAACTAGTAACAAAATAAGGATACAAAGCTGGTTTTGGCTAAATTTCAGGAGAAACAACCATGAGATGCATTAAGCTGAAGAGCTGTCTCCCCAGATACATGGTGGAACACATTTAAAAGCAGACTGGAGAATCCAGTGCAGACAGCAATCACACCCAACGTGGATGGCAGTTGGTTAGAAGTGATCCAGCTGGTCTTCTCCATCACCAGCTTCTACAGTTCTCTGCTTAGAAAAGCATAAAAGCCTACAGCAACCACAGTCCCTCCGATGAAAGAAAATCCTGGGCTCATTAAGACTCTCGGATACTAAAACGGTTCTTCATTTCCATCCTGGAAGACCTTCATGAGTTCTGACGTCCACTTTAGTCGGGCTCCACTTTGGCCAGCCTTCAGGCGTACACCTGCATGTTGTTCCTCTGCTGCTCTGGCATGTGAGCGGCCGCCGGCCCACGCTGGTTGTTACCAGGACTGGTTGCCACGTCAGACCAGTCAGAAGCAGAGTGCGGGGAAGAGCTGGACCACTGGTCTGGAGATTCAGGCGATGGAGTCAGGTATGGGTGCTCCCCTTGTAAGTGCCGGTTGTGGCTAGGAGTCCGTTCTGTGGCCGAGGAGTAACAGCTGTGCTGCGACGGAGGCGTGGGGTACTTCCCCATCGAGCTCTGGAACTGGTGGTAAGCTGGGAGGATTGTTTGAGGCACCTGCCCGTCCTGCTGAGGGATGGCAGCCATGGAGAACGAGGCGCTGGGCAGCTGAGCTAAATCTGATATCTGGTACATGGAGCTAAGAGGGCCAGCCATGTTCTGAGCGCAGTTGGACTGGGCCTGCTGTGGCAGCGCTTGCTGGTTTATGCCACCCTTGGGAACCAGCTGGAAAGTCATGATAGGGGGCAGAGACTCCCTGGACACTCCCAGGTGCTTCGTATCGGCTTGAACCAAACCGCTCTGCTGAGAAACACTGGGGTGTGAATGCATGACCGGCGGCACCATGCCGAACATCTCGTTGTACTGGGATTCGTTCATCTCCATGCGATTCATCCACTCGGTGGAAACATTGGCCGGCCGGAGCCTGCCAAGCCCGCTGTTTGGAGGGGTCGTTCTATGCTGTGAGAGCAGCTGGCTGACCGATGGGAGCACGGTGCTGGAGCCACGGCCTAAGGGCTGCATCTCGTGGAGGTTGGAGAAGGACATGCTGTGCGCAGCCTGCACCGACGG